TGTTTCTTTCACGATGTATACCTTGTCATATACAAATAAAATAAAGAAATGATGTTTACCTACTTAAAAAAAAAAAATATATATTGATGCAATTTTTTTGTATTTATAATATGTCAACAATTTTAATTAATATTTAATAATACAAATTTATAAAAACTATATAAATAATATAAATATATAATCATTTATATTATATTATATTATTTTTTTTAAATAAAATCTTTATCAAAACAAAAACATACAGATATTATTTCTTTAATTTATAATGGTTTATCTATAAGAAAAATTATTATTGGACTTAAATTAGTTATAATACTATTAAAAATTTATAAAAATATTTGGTTTGATATTTAAAAACTCAAAGCTAGATATTCTTGTTCTTTAAATCAATATTAAAAACATGTTATTATATGATTTATTATTTTTAGACATGTTGATATAGTTGCAGAAGTTCAAAGAGATTTAAAAAATTATTAAAATAGTAATGTATCAGCACAAACAGTTCAAAATATGTTAAAAAGAAATGGCTTAAATCTGTTGTCAAGAAAAAAAACCATTTCTTAATATAAAACATAAGAATTAGTGGTGAAAGTTTACAAAACAATATGAAAATTGAATTATTAATAATTGAAGACATGTTATTTTCTCAGATAAGACTAAAGTTAATTGATTTGAATTTGATAAATGTAAATAGTGCTGGAAAAAATCAAAACCTTTATTTCAATTCAATCATATTATTATAACTATGAAGTATAATAAAGAAGCTATAATGATTTGAAATGTATTTCAACACAAGGAATTGGTTACATATGTTTTATTAAAGCTAAAATGAATGCTGAAATATATGTTGAAATTCTTGAGGAATATTTCTTAAAGACTATAGAATGGTATCATTTAAACAAAAAAAAAATCATGATAATGATTCAAAGTATATAGTAAAACATATTATCAAATGGCTTGAAAATGAAAAAATTAGAGGTTTGGATTGGTCTCTATACTCTTCAGACTTTAATTCCATAAAACATCTATGGGATTATTTAAAAAGAAAGCTTTCATATTATAAAGATGTACCTGATAATATAAATAAACTCTGGGAAAGAATAGAAGATGAATAGAATAAAATACCTTTAGAAAAGTGTAGAGAGTTAATTGATAGTATGCCACAAAGAATTGTAACTGATTAAAACAAAGGGTGGGTACACAAATTACTAAATTTTAAAAAAAAATTTTGGCAAAAAATTGTATCAATGTATTCGCTTACTTTGAATGTATATTGCATAATGCTAATTATAATAAATATATGTCAAATAATTCTGTTTGAATAGCTAAATTGCATGTTAATGAATAGTAACATTTGTTTTTATTTAAAATCAATAATTTTAAAACTGTAAACAAAATAATAAAAAAAATTGATATATTGATACAATTTTTTGAGTCAGTGTATTTGGAATGGGTTAACAGCGATGTTATAATTTATGAATTTCCATCAAAATCACACGAAGGTTTAATTTTCGCACTTACTTCAGAAATAATAGAAAAATGCCTTTCTGTTACGAAGTGATGGAAGCATCATATATCTTGGCGCAATTAGTAAATATCGATTAGCTAACTGTCCCGGCCTTACGTTTGTGATATCAAACAAATATTTTTTTCTTAAGGAACTCGTACTGACAATTCTGAGAAAGGAGCGGATGCATATTTTCGCTCTAAAAAACCACGAGTGGCACCACCAAATGGGAGTGATAAAAAGGCACCTTTTACTGGCTCTGAAATCTTCAGAACCATGATTTTATATTTTCACGATTCCAGGATGAACCTGGTCGAATCTCGTCATTGAAGTGGCGTATTCTAACCACATGTTCTTGAAAAAGTGAAAGATTTAAAGATTGGTAAACCTCGCGAAGAAGGCGAAACTCCTTCACGGATGCAAGTAAGTTGTATTCCTAAAGTGCACATGACATTCATTGTTAGTTTGAATTCGATACCCATGACAACAAATATGTGAACCCGATAAATATTCAACCAGGCCAATGTGTCATCAACATTTCTCTGGATTTTTTTTATCACAATGCATATCTTGAAGCTATGATTCATCGACAACTTCTCCCTGATCCAATTGTATTGGATTTCTTAATGACCCGAAAAAAATTTCTTATTGCGTATGAATAACAGAAGGGAGTAAAATTTATAATAACTCTATTAAAACAAGAAAGCGATTGGCAAGAGCCTATGAAGAATGTATTGATATACAGTATATGAAAGTTTAGGAGAAACGGATAATGCAGATGATTGCTATAAGCCTGACACTTCAAAAAATCCCTTGAATATAGAAGGAATAATTGAAGAGAATTGTTCAATCAGCCTAAAAGTATTGTTGACTTTATTGACACAGACAACAACACTGTTCCTTTTACAAAAGTCTAAGGTTTTGATCCAGGATCCACTGTTAACATTTACTTTGGATTTGTCCTATTATCCACAACTTAATAACCATACTCAGGAACAAAGCCACCACTAATAAAATTAGCTCTAGCGGTTATTGCTCAGAAGAAATTCAAAACCAAAAAGAAACAATAATTTATGAAACCGTAGTTTTACCGAATAAATAAATTTATGAAGGCTTATTAGAACCGTGTATTATAGAAATAAAGAATCAACTTTATAGCATCCCGAACATCTAGTTGGCTCTTAACTACAGGGGAACACAGGGAATTTAGTGGTCGATATTAAGAACATTAAATACACATCTAGAAAATCTGCATAAACAAAACGAAGCTCAACTCAGCAAACTATTACAAAAAATCTGCTCGTTATTAGATGCCATGATGCGTGTAGGTGTTAAAGGTATTGGTCGTGAAAAACTGCATGAGCTATTACATAAACAGCTTAAAGGGCTAAAAGATAGCCCTTCATTAGCTTACCATGCTCATTACGTCTGTCAGGAATGTCACATATCCCAAATGATGAAAATTTATGTCAAGAAGTTATGTGTCGAACTTTTAAAGCTGTTATAGGAGTTACAACTTTAGCTAGTACTGTTAGAAGCTCGGACCCATGTAAACTACTAGATACCTTTAAAGATTTTAGCCAGGCATTTGAAGGTTTAGATGAGATTCTAAGTCATGCTCTATAATAATCTAACTTCAGGAAAAAAAAGGTCTTATTACTCTTAGGCGAGGCCGGCGCGTAAAAGTCTACTTTTTAACATCATCTTGTCCGACACCTTTGGGAGGATTATTCATAAAAAGACAAGTTAGATATTTTTTTTTTCAACAATATATAATCCTAATGAAAGAACAATCAAAAGTATTTAAGAGAGATAGGCTTTTTCTGAAAAAAATGAGTTCGTGTTTATATTAGACGGATATTATGAAATCAAGGACCATAGACCAATAAAAATAGACTCAGTCAACTAATATTTAAGTAAGAAGTATTAGCAAAATTATATTCCTGATCGAAATCCCAAATTTTTTCAGGAAATATGGCTAGCACCTTTTTCTAAAGAGAAAATTCAAGAATATATTATAAAGTACGTCGAAAAACAAAAAGGTGCTGCTCAAAATATGTTATGGGACGCACAAAATTATGGAGACGTTTTAGAGTGTATTACTCATTCAGATCAATTATTAAGTACTGTAACCCATTATCTTAAAAGATTTTTATGCAAGTTATGCCAGACTTGGATCGACAATATAATGAGAATTCGGAAAAAATCACGAAAAATTTAATATTGATAACAAGTTTGTAGAAAAATGGTTCGAACAATCCCAAGAACGTTTAAGTCACATCCAATTAGATGAAGAAAAGACTTTTTAAATACTTAGACAACTGTTATTTACACAAAATTGTATACAGTTTAACAAATAGCTAACGAAGTAGTTGTAGAATATTCAGCTGTCGATTACACTAACTGGCGCGGTAAATTCTTTGGATATAAGGCTCAGAGACAACGTCTTTTGTATTACAACTCTCCATTAAGTCGCAATAGTAGTCAGTATCTATTTATCCATAAATATTTATTTTAATATTTTGTTGCTCGATCAATCTATGATTCAATTTGCAAAAAAATCTAATTCTACATTTTCCAATCGTATATTCTCAGGAGAATAGAAGTTTAAAAGGTGTACAATAGAATAATGATTTTAAAAAAAATCTTTTTGACTTTATCGAGAAACCGAAAGAAGACACTAACTTAGAAATCTCCGCGGCAAATGCAATCACAATTTCAAATAAAGTCGGGATGTCATTTAATGGCAAGAATCTAAATGGCACTCGTATTCTGTAGCAGATTTAAGTTATGGCTTGTTTGATAACGCACAATTTAAGGAGCGAATTTGAGTAGTGTTAATTTTCAAAGAGCGTGGTTGCAATGTGCCCCAATATTTCAGGCGTGCAATTCGGAGAGTTTCCTTTTTAGATCTCAATGGTAGTTGTGAATGTGGCTGATATTCCCCAGATAGATGTTATCTTGCCATTGCTTGTAAGATAATAATTTATCTATATAATTTCAAAATGCTAGAGATTAAACATACTTCCAAAGGACATTCTAACACTGGAGTGTGGTCTTCTCTCCAGATGGTGCTCAACTAGCATCGGGCAGCGGAGAAAATGCGGTGTGGCTGTGGTTTATCGAAAATTTAGATTAGAATCCACACATTCTACGACTATGTTAATACCATGATCTCTCCAGATGGCACCCAACTGGCATCGGGCAGCACAGACATGAATATGCGGCTATGATCTCTCAAGGATTTAAATAAGAATCCACGTATTCTAGGACATACTTATTATGTCTATTCAGTGACCTTCTTTTCGGATGGCACCCAAATGGCATCAGGTAGCGCTGAAAAACGGTGCGGCTGTGGTCTCTCGGGAGTTTGGTCAGAATCCACGTATTCTAGAAGGACATGCTGGTTTTATTTATAATGTAACCTTCTCACCGGATGGCACCCAACTGGCATCGGGCAACAATGACAGATGGTGGCTGTGGTCTACCGAGAATTTAGATCAGAATCCACGCATTCTAGAAGGATGGTTTAATTGGATTTTAAGTGACCTGCTCACCAAATGACACCCAACTGGCATCGGGCGGCGGAGACAATACGGTGTGGTTGTGGTCTATCGAGAATTTAGATCAGAATCATCACATTCTACATAGAAATACTGATTTTATTAATATTGTAACCTGATGGCACCCAACTGGCATCGGACAGCACAGACATGACAAAGCGGCCGCGGTCTACGCCATCATATCACTACTTAACCATTATATACTTTTTCGGAATAGTTTGTAGTTTTGACTGGAAGAATTCAAAAGCGGAGAGCCTTTTATTAACGACTAGTTTTGATAAAGCCATTCGTTGTGACATATAAAAAGAATAAATAAATAAACTTCATAAGTCACTTTACACTGATTTTCAAGGCATTTTTCAAAACGTGGAAGGGTTGAACTCAATAAACATGCGCCGCTTAAAGCAAAGAGGTGCCGCTGAATACTTTAATGAATATTAAGTTTAAGGTCGTGGTTGTTTCCTAAGTATTGGCGTAAATTTACTATAAATAAATAAAGACTTAAACTATAGTATTTAAAGAATATGCGAGATGTAACGCTAAATCTTTAGATATTCGAATGATTAATAAGTGAATACATAAGCACGATACAAGGATACATAATAACCAAGAAAGTCGCATTATTCGAATAGACACATGATGCGTAGCAAAAGTCCAAATAAATTAGCTTTGTTACATGTAATTACGCAACTCCTCATTATAAAGTACACGTAATCACGCCCATAAAAATACAGAAAGTCCCTCTAAATGCACCCTTCTTAAATACATTTACTATTTTTTACCTTTCTAAATAGGTGCTCAGGCTTGATATCAAGATATAGAACATTTAAGATATTACTTCTCTGAATGCAGACCCTCTTTAAATGCATGTTTATCAAATTTTTTATATTATCTCAGGAGGATACACTTCAGGGAGGATTTATTGTATCATAGCATCACGGTTAAATAGGCGAGTCTGTCGTTGACAGGTTTAAATGTAGCGGAAAGCGTGTTGGGAACTTTTTTTACTAACTTGTCTCTAACTTTATTTATACTTTTTACTTGTAATTTTATACATTTACACGAGAGATTTCAAAAACAAAAATGTGTAACTACGAGAATAACATGGTCTAATTACATAGTTACAATAGAATTGCAAAATTTATCTCCTCATTGCTTCTTAATTCCCTTTATTTCTTTCTTAACCGTCATATTTCCGAATTTTATCACCACCTCTTAGTTAATAATAATAAAAACTTTCCTCCTCCTAACGGTTAATTTAGGTGAAATACTGTAAATTCGACTCCAAAGAGATGATCAAACAATATCCTTATTTTATTAGTCTTTTTCACTTTCTTGACTTACTGTTGATTTTTTTTTCCTTGCCTCACTCCCCGAACAATCATCAAATTACTAGCATCCTTTTCTATAATCACGAATTACTTAAAAGATTATATGAACTTACGAGGCAGGTAGAGTTGTCTGATGCCATTGTGAACGAATTAGCTTTATTGCACTTCGAGAGCGGCGCTGTAGAGTTAATTACGCTTGTTTTATTACGATCGTCAAGGGAATTTATTAGGACTCATGGGACTCATGATAGTTCGGATTTTTTTTCTTTTTCTACCAATAGGTAGTTAAAAGTCATCTAAGCACAAATTATTTCTTTTATTTAATATCTATGGATGATGTTGTAATTGAAATATTAATTACGAAAATTACATTTAATTTTTAGGTTTTCTGATGGTAAATCTCTTAAATGGTTCCTGCAATATAAAGTTGTACCATGGGAAGAAGTCAGGTTGGCTTCAAAACGCGAATGATTGTAGAGAAATGAAAATTATTGAAAAGATGCACGTAGCGATAAAAGTGAATAAATAGGGGTTTTCTTTTTTTATTAATTCAATATAATATTATTTTCTAGAAGAACCATTTTGACATGTAGTGGGGCCATTGAAAAATAATAATCGATGCGGCTAATATAAGTGCCGTTTATATTTTAAGTTTTTACTCAATAGATTATCTTTGTGAATTAACGGCAAAAAAAATACAAATAAATGTGCTAAGAAACTCGAATTAATATACAGTATATCGTATTCTATTGTTTCGCGCCGGCACGATTTATCCGTAAGACATATTCGAACCGGTGATCGATAGGGATCATTTTTTACGATAACTCATGACCTTTTAATAACGTATATTGCGCCAAATTTTATTAATCTGATCATTATATACGTATTGCGTAAACCTCTACTCTTCCAAAATGGATGCATGGCAATCGGTCGTAGAGAAAGCAAAGAAAATTGGACATAAATTTAATAAAACAATCTATAGCTATCCCAAGTTTCCAAAGTTTTCCTTAGAAGAAAAGCAAGTGCGCCCCACATATGTTTTCTAATATTTGTTCAATATTGTTGACTCGTATGGAATGCAGTTTACCATTTCAGATTGGAAAGAACGTTTCAATGAAAGATTATAATACTTTTCTTGACCACAACGAATCGACCGGATACAAATTTCGTTGGGAAAACGGAAACGTATACATTATTGAAATGGCAAACCTGGAACATGAAGCTGTTGTATCATATCTTCAAGATTGTTTTAAAGAACCAAATAATCATGTGAAACGTGGTCCGATAAAGGTTATGAGTCAACCATGTAAGAGATTTTTGTTTAGTCTGCTTGTCTTTGGCTCGTAACAATTTTTCCTATAGGTCATTATAATCCAATCGGTGATGGAGAAAAAATAGCACCAAACATTGCAGTTCGTGCAAGTAATGCTCATGTTCTAGTACCATCAATTCCACATTCTGGTCTTCCTCATATTTACTTTGAGTCAATTTTCTAATAACAATAATGTATTTACATAGAACAATCCTCACGGGAGAATCATATGTGAGGTAGCTAACACTCAAAATATCTTTGCCTGGAATATAAAATGCGAAACATGGATGCATGAAAATTATGTACGCTGTGTACTTGGTATAAAGCTTTATCCTAAAATAGCCATAGGAAAAACTGTTCATCAAGCAATGATTGTACGTCTTTACGCCTAGCATTCTATTATTTGATTGGCTTTATCTCTAACAGTTTTTTTGATATTAGGTTAGGTTATGGACGCGTAATGCATTAGCAGGGGGTATATTATCAACAGATGCAACTTTAGCAACAGCGGGAGTATATGTCACAGATGTAAAATTTATCTACTGTTATATTTTTATTTTTGCAATATTATAGTGGGATTTCGGCACTATACAATATAATAATAATACACCTACACCCCACCGGTTGCAACGCTTTAAATCTTAATGCCTTTCAAATAACCATTCCGATTGCAGATGCTTTCTGGGACCTCCGATCGTTGAGGGAGTTCCTACAACATATGCTGTATTAGTGCCAGGTACAGTTGTAGGTATTAATTTTGGGATTGATCTATTTGATGTTCAACAGAAGGTTTTAGATGCACGGTAAAGAATGATACATTCATTGCTTTGTTTGGTTTGTCGTATCAAGCTAATGAACAATGTGTTATACAGTTAATCAAAATTTGATTTTCTACAAATGTGATTAATGTGGTGTAGTAGTTATATACATTTGTTTGCCTGAAAAATTTTGATGCCTCGAAAGGCTAACGAAAAAAAAAAGGTTCATGTTGTATTATTAATATGCGAAATATATAAAAGTGACACTATTCGAGGAGCCGTTAGAAATAAAATTCTTAGAACCGGTGTCCTGCTCAAATTGAATAGCATATACTTTCGCTGGAGAAAAAGAAATGTGGGAAGCAGAGATGGTTGAGATTGATAATCGGTAAGGGGCTGTATGAATGGTCTGTGATAGGATGCATGGAGTGAGTAGATAATGCTCTGTATCATCATCTTCCGACGGGTATTAACTAACCGGCGTGCTTCATAAGAAATAGTACGATTTTTTATTCATGGTTTTATTATGTATGGCAAAATATATCAATATCTGGTTTTCCACGACACGCGTGTCGTAAGGGCGCAGTAATTTACTTCGTCGTCTTCGATATCATCTCGACTTAAGGCTGAAATGGAATGTACAAAAAACGATCTAATTAACAATATTTTTTGTCTTGCTAACTTCTTATTCCCTTTAACAATAGCAGTAAAAAGTCTATGGATTTTTCGGGTCCTTTCCATTCTTTTCTGTAAGCCACTATCTGTCACTTCCGCAGGAATTTGTTTTTCTAACTTCATCAAAAAGTAGAGCATTCGACCCTTCCTTGCCATTATCCTTTTTTAAATTTATATAAAACCTCTCCAAAGCCAAAATAACTACTAATAACTTTTCTGTTAGAAACTAGATATTTAGATTCAGAAATATGCTTCCTGTAATATTATTTAATGATGTACTGTATATTATACCCGAAAAATAACTCGATAAATAATTACCCACTCTCCACTACTAAATATAATTATTTATAACCCATTATGAGTAATTAGGAATAACCATACCAGTCTCTTATATAATTATTGATTGCAAAAATAAGATCTACCCTATCTAATGATGAACCTCTAAAGAGTGAAATATGTAGAGGTAAGTGAGAAAATAATCAGGATATTCGATTTTAATTTTAGGATTAAGTTTTTTCATCACTTCTTTGCTAAGCCCTTTACATGTCTCAAAACTAAGATATTTTAAACCAGCACAGTTGCGTGATATCTTCTTGACAGTTTTATTGTTGATCAAGCTCAAAATGTCTAAGTTTTGGGAACAAGCAAATAATTTTAGTAACATATTAATCAGTGAAACATATGCATGAATTAAGATTTAGATATTGTAAACTGCTTCTAATTTATATAAATATTTATGGATTAAATTATAATTTTTTAAAAATTTATTGAACCATTTAACTTTTAACTTATCTAAATCATCTATTTGTTCAGATGATATAGCATACTGAATTCGAATGAATAGTTCTTTAACTCATTCTTAATTCTTTTCTATAGATCTAAATTTTCTATAAATATCTTACTGATCTCAATTTTTTATATAACCTATTATTTCAGCATCTGTAATATATAAAGTTTTAAGTTTTGCAAAATGAATACAAAGCATTACTATAATATCAGTAAGAGCTTGTCAATTAGATAAGGTTTTAATATTATATATATTTAATTTTTCTTTGACTGATTCTAATATAAATTCATTTGAATAATTAATATATTTAACTTGAGTTTTTTTCTAATTAAAATTTTAAATTTTGTTAACATCTTATATAATATCTAAAAATTTTATAACCTTAATTATTTCAAGTAATGTATTAAGGTTTCTTAATTATTTATAAAGATAAATAAACATAATAAGTTAGTATTAATATTTTTTTCTGATAAAGTTAATATATAAGCTTTAGTTTTTATAACTTTAATACTAAATTTATCTTATAAAATTTGTTGTTATAATTCTAATGGGGGTTTTTTTTTATTTCTTTAAAAAGTTAATTAATAATTATAATATTTAGAATTTTGCTAAAAATATTTTTACATTGTTTATTTTTTCAAGTTGTAAATAAAATATTTACTTAATCTTTACTAAACCCATATCTATTTTGTAAAATTTGTTTTACTTTTTCTTTAACAATTTCTTCTTTTAAACTTTTGAGAAACTTAATTATAGCTATTTTACAATTACCTTCAATTAAATTTATAGTTTTATTTTTTCACTTCTTTGACTAAATATTAATATATTATTGCTAAATTTAAAGTTATTTCAAAAATGTTATTAAGTTTGATTCTGCTTTTTATTATCAATAAAATTTTCAAGAAATTTTAAAACATATTTATTAAAATCAAATATACTTATCTTAAAATAGAGATTGTATTTTTTAATAATTTTAATTATAATAACTAATATATTTAAATGTTATAATAGGTCAAAGAGAATATAAACAATTTTTCAGATCATATATTTTAAAAATCATTTTTTCAAATTTAAATTAATTATTATAAGTTGATATATATACTCAAAAATTAAATAAATTGCTATTAAAATAATTCTATTAGAAAATAAATATAAATAAGATACAAGTTTAATCAAAGATTTTAAAATCCATAGCTTTACATAATAATAAAAAATTATTAAAAATATAAATAAAATAAAACTAATATAATATTATTTAAAAAATTCTAAAAAAAACAATTAATATATACTAAGTATATTATTATAATTTATATCTAAAATTAAATAAGTGAAGTATATAATTCTTAAATATAATAATTTATATATATAATTTATTCGGTTTTTTTAATAATAACTCTCTTTACTTTTATATTTGCTTATATATTTATTATATTTATTATATTTAGACTTATTTAACTTACTACAATTCCTATAAGAAGTAAGTATTGAAAAAATATAATAAATATAATATTACTATTTTAATTATAGATTTTTTCAATTTTATAAATATATGAGAAATTTTTTTTTAATTTAACTAGCTAAATCTTGTTTAATATGATTTTTATTTAATTTATATCTATATTTCATATATTATAGGAATTACTATCTATAAACTATTTTATATATTGCTAAACTATATTGAATTATTTCTATATTGACTTATTACTATTAACTTTATTTTAAAGATATTGGCCAAAGTTAATATGTTAAGATATTATTAATATTGTTATTATATATATTAGTTCTATTTCAAATTATGCAATATTTTAAAAAAAAATTAAAATAGGAAAACTGGAAATAATATTTATATTTGGTAAATGGAATCCTATAAAGAAAACCTTTTAGACTTATATTATCTGCAGATAAGTATATTAATTTAATCTTTACCTTTTCTAAAACTACTTAAGAACATTTAAAAAACTTATCTTATAGACTTACTATCTATAAATTGTTTCAGCTATCAGTATTTACTGCTGTTTTAACTACTTTTCCAAAATAAGTAGCTTTTAAAATAATTTATTATTTGATTGAAATAAAATTTTTTTAATAACTTATAAAAAAAAACACCTAAGTATCATAGAAAAATAATTATCAAGCTATCTTATTTAAAAGTAAATATCTTATACTCTTTACAACTTCTAGTAATTATTATAATACCAATCAGACAATTATTATATTATAATATTTTTTTCTAAAAATTATAATCTTAATATTTATTGAATCAATATATAAATTAACTTCTTATAAAAAATAATATTTTAACAAGTTATAATATCAGATAATATATTAAATTTATTTAACTAACTTTATCTGGAATTGAACTAATATCTTATAATCTAATCTGTTAAGTATTAACTATTTTTTTTAATGTTAAGTGAGGTATTTCTTACAATATTTATTAATATAATAAAATGAAATTGTTACATGATTAATATTAAGATATAAGATACATTGTTATATATGTCAACTAGGGTTCCAATTGGTACCATTCGGTATGGTATTTTATAAAATCAATACCGAAAATTTTTTCAGTATCAATATCGGTAATTACCAAAAATTTTCGATATGAAACTTTGTAATATTAATACTGAACCGAAAATATCAAAATCAAATATTAAACTAATTTAATATAATATAATATAGTAACTAGAATTCTAATTGATACAATATAGTATATAGATAAATACTTTATTCAATAAATTTGTTTTATATTCTCCTGAAAAATTTCATAAGTTTGTGTGATGGATCAGTAGTATTGTTACGGTGAAATACAGCGAGTCCGTCACTTCTGTTTTGTTTATGCCATACTATGTTGAAAAATAGTTTCTCCTTAAAAGAGATATGTATATTTGGCTCAAGTTTAACAATAACGCAGGTCAATCCGTCGATCATGCGTCGTAACTGCCAACCTCCTACGTGGTCACTCCTTTGTTTAGTGACACTCTCAAAATAGATAGCCTTTTTAATGTGCAGTGCCTATTCTCCTTGATTCCCATATTTTTATATTGTTATCTTATTTTTATACTTTTTATACCTGATATAATTTAGCCAGCTTTGGACTTATTATCCAACTTTATACTTGTTATCTATATTGTACTTGATAATTACTTGTTATATCTGCTAGATATTTAAAGGTACTAGAATATACTAGAAATACTAGATATCTTTTGTATATCTATCATATTACTTTTTATATTCTACATCATTTTACTTTTATTTTTCTCATTATTTAGATAGTTCATTTTTCACTTTAACAGTACAAAATTCATCAAAGTATTGTACACCCAATCGATTTCTCTATATTTCACATCTACCTGACATATATTTACATATCAACTAATTGACATGAATTATTAGCAAAACATAAGCAAAAAATCTGGAAAAATTTCTTACAATGCCATACTTACATTGTAATCCCAAACAATATTTATAAATTTTTCTTTGCATTAATATCCATTAAAGCTCATATTATGCATTGATTAATTCTGATTGCGATGCTATTCTTTATTTCTATTTCTACGCTCATCAATAAGGATACGTATTTGAGTATTGGTCCATTCAACCATTTTTAGGTTATTTATCCTGACAATGAATATAATGTGAGAAGACAGATTTTGTTGCTTTTATAAGTATATCTTAAATATGTTAACAGTACTTTGACAATACTTTAACCATACTTTAACCATACTTTAACCATATATCTGTGATTATAAGCTCTATTATTATATAATTTATTGCTTTTCCAACCACACTTCAATATTGTTTCAACTATGTTTTAACAGTATAAATCTATGGATGTTCAATTACTTTTTTCATATAAAAGTAGTATAATTAATCGAATACATATGCTTCAGATTTGCATATCTCGAATTTGTTTATCTCAGACCGGGCGATCTTAAATAGTGAGTGACTTACATCCCTAATGCAAAAAAATTAATAGATCCCACATGTCCAAAATAGATCTCACATACCTAAAATAAATTTTATTCATGGAGATATAGTTTATATATTATATAATCACTCATGATAATTAAATATATATATGCGATTTATATATAAATACAGTTATAATAAATTTTTGCTATAATCCAATATGCATCTCTCCTATTTTCATCATATATATTACTTGTAAATTCTGACAAATATATATAACTCATCTAATAACCCAGACCCTATAGGGAACTCTTCGAGTATCTATACTAAAATTAAATCGCATTATTCTAGAGTATAAAGTTAGTAAATATAATAGGTCTAAATCCCTAAATTTGATATAATTGTATAATCTTATAATCTTATATAATTAATAAATAAGTTATAAAATGATTAATTTTAGCAGTTTAGTAGTTCATCAGGGTTTTAAATGTTTGGATGAAGAATGGGATGAATATGTGAAAATGCTATAAGTTTGTACTAATGAAACTCCTAATGAGTAGATGAAATGGATTTGGGAAGGTCTTACATATTTTAAAGAAAATAATCTTTTATCTTATAATAAATATGCATTACACTGTTATGAATTGTGGATGCAGAATGCTATCAGAAAAGTTAAATGTGCAAGAGAAATCGATAGAAAATTAGAGCTATAAATATTATATTGCAGAAATGGCTTGAATATATATATAAACCAGATAGTCTCTATTATACATGTTGCTGAAATTCGTAGATCCTTGACACAATTGATGCAATTATTTGACGCAATTAATTGAGTCACTATTAAAACATATAAATAATTGAGTCATGACGCAATTATTTTTGAGGATTTTAGGAATTGAGTCAACAGCAAAATAATTTACACCACATGTATAGTTTATAATAATTAATTAGTGGCGTATCAGCAGTATAGCACATTATCAAGGATTAGAATTGTATAATATATATGTTTGACAATCATTTGAAAATATGTCTCAGACTTGTAAGTCATCAAGGGTGGATCAGATACCTTTCAGGGTATTTGGGTCACCTGGCACAATGGATTCCATAATGCAGTTACAGGTCAAGATTGTTACAAATAATAAGGATATTAATATATAATACTTTTATGACTTTTAAATAAAATACTATATATATAAGGGTTGTATCTTGCTTGAAATTTTTGTTTTTAGATTTGGTAACTTAAGTTAATTGAATTCTTTGGAGTGTTTACTAGAAGACTTTGAAGTTGTATTTTACTTGGCTATAGGATTTCTAGATTTAATAATTTGTGTCAATCAAAGATACAGTTTTGAAATATTTACTAAAAGTATATATTTATATTTAAATCTACTCTGAACTCATAACTGTGTAAGTCAAAGTTATAATACAAAAAGTTATTATTAATTATTAATATGTATTAGATTAAATTGTTTCTTTTTTTTTTCTACCAATATTCCTGAGCAGAGGCCTTAGCTACTCAGTATTATTTTAGATATATAATAGTTTTAATATTTGTTTTCCTTACTACTTAAATAGTTATAAATAATAGATAAGTTAGTATTAAATTTATTAATTAATTGGTTATATGAGAGATGTTGTTACTTTCTTTTTATAATAATTTTTTAATTTTATAATTTAATAAAGTAATATTGTTTTTCTACTTAAAAAAAAAAATAACAAATTATAATATATTAATTTATTATAAAATTGAAATTGTTTTAATTGTTTTAAATAAAAAAATATAATTATAACAATATAATTTTTATTAAATCAGGTTAAATTTTTATTTTTACATGTAGTAAAAATAATATTTTTTTTTTAGTATATTTATATAAGATAATTATTATTATTAAAAAAATTAAACATTATTATTTAAAAAATTTTGTTTCAATCTACCAATAAATACAAATATATAAGATCAAGATCTTATTTAATTATGGCCAGTTTAGAATTGATCAACTCTTCAAGAAATATGTCTTTTTTAATTTTAACTATTATTTTTTTATTTGTTAATATAATAATATTTATGAAAATTGTAAGATAAAAAAAAATTCAAAAATATTATTAGTAATTTTATTGCAAAAATTAATCTAAAATTATTAATGAACTTTATATATACTTTTTTGAAGTTAATTTTTTTTTCACTATGAAACTTGATAGATTTAATAATAAACTTTAATAATAAACTTAATGAAGAAGCTAATATAGAATTTGATAAAATCAAAAATAAATTTAATGTTAAAATTGATTTATATAATATTAAATATATCTAGAAGGCATAAAAAATTTAAATGATATAATTATAAGACTTGATAATATCAAAAAAGCCTACTATAATTATTTGATAATATCTAAATTTACTTTAATCAAAACTTTTATTAAAACTCTTTAAAATAAAATAATTTAATATTATATAATTTCTCAAATACTTTAGATTAAATTTAATTAGGCTTCAAACTGATCATATAGAAGCTCACCATCAGATTTATCTCTTGAAAAAAATATATTTTTAATTTGAAAAAGAACTATTAATTATATATTTGAAATTGTAAAATGTAAAATTAGTAAACTTACTAGAAAAAAATTAAGAAAAATATTTTGAAAAGCTTTTATTATAGTAATGGAAATCAATTATGAAATGAGTTAATAGTAAAGAAATTAGTAATAGTTAGTTTAGATAATAACTTAAATAATAATTTAGACTACAAGTATATACAGTATGTTCTTTTTATGTAATAATATGTAACAAACAGAATCATGTGACTTTAAATTTATAACACGTGATCTTAAATTGATATTTACCTCAAAAAATTTTTTCGCGTTTAAACTCTCGCAAAATGTACCTTTTACCTAAATGTGTCGACGAGCTAAAATACAGTGGTAAGACAATTAACTTGTCTTTTTTTATGATAAGTCTTGCGTAACCTTTCGTTTGTAAAAATATGTAGATTTTTGGGAGTCTATGGAGGAGCCTTCGTTAAAAAAGTTCTTAGATTTCCGATTAAAAGAAAACGATTTGAAAGATAGAGATACAGAGCACCGTCAATACAAAACCGAATTGGAAATTATTCAAAGTTACCATGGTAAAAATTCTGAAATTGGGGCTAAGGCGAAAAGTTTGTTAAAACAATTTAAGGTAAGTGTACTCAGTTATTCGATACTGTGCGACACCAACTACCATACTGGTTGTGACTGGTGGTGGGAAAGGTTGCGGACTTGTCGGTGTGCACATTATAAATGATCAAAAAAAAAAAAAAAAAAAAAAAAAAAAATAATAATAATAATAATAATAATAATGGTCTCTCAACTACCGTGCTGGTTGAGACTGGTTGCGGGAAAGGTTGCGACTTGTTGAGAGTATATTGTATGCTCTAACGGACTACCGTGCTGGTTGCGACTGGTTACGGGAATGGTTGCGACTGGTTGTGGGAATGGTTGCGACTTGTCCGTTATTTGTCTACTAATTTTGTCAGATATTTTTATTAGAATGATAAATCATCAGATCAGATAAACCATTTTTGGAATATTCAATTGAAAAGAAAAAATATTCTAGCGGAGTTAAAGTTGCTTGAAGATAAATGCAAATTACTCGATAAGGAACAGGTACGTTGTCTTTATATAATATTTTGAAATTAGTTATTGATTATACAATACTTCCTAATACCTTCAAACAGAACGAACTGGAGAACCAGATATGTCTTGAACAGACCAAACATATTCTAGATGCAACGAAAAAGACCGTAGGTCAAGGTCTTTTCTTGCAAAAATCAATTGTCAAAAGATTTGAAAAACGCATATTAGATACCGAGCAACAAATAGTGGTAATTATATTTATATCAACATAACACCAAAAAAAAGTGTGTACACTAATTGATCCACCGAAGTAATAGAAGAAAATAATGTGTTTTTAATGGCTTCCCTTAGGAAGTGGAAACTTTAACTGGATTTCAAACACCAATACGACATGTTACACCAAAAGATGATGAAGAAACAGGAACGTCAATCTACGATACTTCCCCAACACACATTCGTAAGCGACCAGAACCGAATCCCTTTTTTGTCAGTTCACAAGGAACAAAGCGTGGCCGAGATGTGGAGGAAGAAGAGGATGACGAATATAATGCCGACCAAACGATCATTGGTGGAAAAAGCACTGATTGGATTGTAAATGGGGTTCATATCAGAGAATGCCTAACACAATATCAACTTGACAAAAATCCGCCAAAAACGAAGTCAGAGTATTATGACATTATTTTCTTCAATTCAAATGACAAGGACGGTTTCTTAAGTACATTAGATGAAAGTATCGTTGAACAGATGCGTAATGACATAAGGAGGAAAGAAGAAAAAACGAAAGATAATATCGAGCAAGATATTAAGATATTTCTAGATAATATTATTGATCGTGATATCAAAAACACTAAAGAAAAACTCAAGCAACAAAAAGAACAACATATTGCTTCATTTGAGAAAGTCTTTGCGTTGGAATTCGTGAGTCACATGTGAGTCCATATTACTTGATTTTTACCAAAAAATTTAGTGAGGATAATGACTAATGAGACTAACATTTTAGGATAAAACTAATGGAAAATGTGAATTGGCTTACCGAACCGATGTCTGAGGGAACGTATATAGTCAACGTTTTAGCGCCCATCCTTTCGGAATTCTTTACTAAAAATAAAGAATATTGGTGTGTTTCATACGGTGAAACGTGTCTTATGGCAAGTGCAAGGGATCGCAATTCCAACAAGGCAGATGATGAACGCCGATCTAATGGGAAAAAAATTGATACTATTATTTCCTTAAGAGAAGAAGATAAAGAGTTTTCAGTTACTGAAGTGAGTGGCCCTCCGATGAAAAATGATTGGGCACATTTTAAGGGGGATCGGATGAAGATAGCAAAAATGCTAAAGACTTTAATGAACCAGTTTGCAGAACTTAACCCGAGTTCGGATATTACATTGATCAGGCTATACGGGCTACAGTCATATTGTAAGCTCTAATTTCTGAATTCCTCTCTTATTTTTGTTACCGTTACTAACTCTGTGTTTTACAGTAAATGAGCTGACCATTTATGAGTTTCAACTAAAATATACGGAAATCTATACCATGGAAATAATATTAACATTTCCGTTACCTAAGACATGGGCGGACATGGCAAAGGCTCATAAAACAGTAACGGGCTTGTTAGAGTATGAGGTTTGTATAAATGGGTCTCAGAAGAAATGAAATACAAAGATCATAAAACTAATACTCTCGATTTCTTGTAAATTAGCGTTTATTGTTTGAAAGCATGGAAACAATAAAAGACTTCATGTGGAGCAAAGGTGGACCTAAGAAGATGACTACGAGAATGATTAATTCTCCTCCTAAAAGCGTCGAGAAAACTAAGTGCACTGTGACTACGAAGAAAACCAAGAGCACTGCGACTACAAAGAAAAATAAGAGCACTATTACCGCAAAAAAAACCAAGAAAGCAAGGATTTAGCATTGGGCAGTCATTATACTCAAATTGTTTTGCATATTCTATATGAACACTTTATTTTTTATCTTTGTCATTTCTGTAAGTGTTTAACGCATATGTGAATATGTAATGGTCTCCTGGTTTTCGGTTGTGTCCCGCGTTATTTTAACTTTGTGCATTGGAAAAACTTTAATTATAAAAATAAATATATGCTACAAATGATTATAGTAAAGGTTTTCGGCATGAAATAAATCATGAAATGTATTATAAAGTTGTCCGTTACGAATCATATAAATTTGAATTGATAAAGAATTGCTATAAGTTACTAAAATTAATAAAATCGCAGTTACAGTAAAACTTAATTCTAGTATCGCTAATTGCATAAATCGTGTATATTCATTATGTCAGGATTCAGTATCTATATCATTCTAGCTAGATGAGCGATTTAATAAGGTTGTACCTAAATGCATATATTGTAAATTACCGTTATGACTCTGACCTCGAAAAAATAATCTAAATAGAAAGGAAATATGACATTATCAGTTGTCAAGCCAGGCCAGTCACTAGTTGCTTGGTTAAATTTAGTGTATATCACCGTCACAGCTTGTTTGCTGGATTCGGGAATGGTAAGATGGATAATTCTTATGTTTATAGTCGACCCAAAATCCATAAGAGTAATATGACTATTTGCTTCGATTGCTGGAAATTGGTAAGATTACCGATGTAAAACCAAAAAAGACATATTTCAATGGACGGTGCAGATATGGATTTGAGATTAAATCCGAAATACCATTGGGATAATGAATGCTCCGAAGCCAAAACCCAAGATAGATGTGCACGCCTTATCCAAAGAGCTTATCGAAACTATAAGAAGAAACCTGTTCATTAGCAAATTAGGCTTAGGAAGTGGTTATAAATGATAACACTCGTAAGGAAAAGAAATTTCTTCACATGTCCAGTAGAGAAATTCGTTGCACTGTAAACTTGGATACTGTATATGGTATTCTATTGATGGAGGGTATAGACCTAATGTTCCGCAAGATCAACTTTATAATTATATAAGCTATTCATGTCAGGCTCCAATTATCTGGTAGATTGACTATAGCAAAAAATTGTTGACGTTAATTCGGCAAGTCAGCCGCTAATGCCGGTCAAAACTTGTGTAGCGCCAAGTTGTTATTCTTACTCTACTTGAGGCGTGGATTTGACTTATGTCATCTTTCGAGTTATAATACCCTTGGTGATTCCTGGAACGATCCTCTCACGGGTGACGTTACTTACAAAGGTACAACTTCTTTATTTGGCGTGTCGATCACACTACCACTTATGGCAATCTTTAATTTCGTAATCTTCACTTTTTTCTTGTATTTATTTTATTCTAATTTATTCTTTTTATTCTTTCTTTTTTTCACACCTTTCTACTTCTTATTTATATCACTATCTTTATCCCTATTGCACTAAGAAACTATCCCATTGTAAAATTATTAGGGATGTTAATCAGTTCCACAGCAAAAAAAAAATTTTTTTAAATTATAAATTTTAAATAAATTTAATTACTTATTTAATTTTTAAGTTTTATTAATAACTTTTAAATAAACTATATTTAAAAAACTTACAATTTTGTCGAAACTATTGAGATCAGATCAATTCTAGAACTGCAGCTTCAATATTATATATTAAGAGATTTTAAATTTTAAAAAGTTTTTAATAAAAAATCTTGATAGATAAAAAAATCATTATAAAAAATTTTAATTAGTAGCTTGTAATGAAAAAAAATTTTTATAATCAATAATTTCTTTAAAATTATTTAAATCAATTAGGTCTAATTAATATCATTAAAACTATTTTTTTTTTTTTTTTAAGTTGTAAACAGATATTAGATATAAGATATTTTTATTAACATAAGTTATAAATTATTTGTCATTACATTAAATGTTTCACTCCATCTATTGGCAGGGAATTAACACTATATCATCTGGCTATTATTAGCTAGTATGCTTATTTTATTGTACAACTTTGACATATTTAACTATACAAACTTTTAAATATCAAGTAAATAGTTTATATATCAAATAGAACTTATATAGAAGATGGAAATACTATCATTAGTTTAAATCACCTAACCTATTAAGTCCAGTCTCAACTGTATCTGTTATGGATGGGATATATTGTAGAATATTATTATAGAGATTAATTCCAGTATTCCAGTTTCTGTTATTATTAATTCTTGAGATATGCCACTAGTATAACATAATACTATTGTATTATTAAAATAAACTATTTAAGCTTTTTATAATAATTTTTTAAACTATTGCTAATATTCTTATTAGATATAATATATAAAATTTTATTATGCAATTTAAGCTGCAAATATTTTTTATTAATAAAATAAAACATAATATAATTATTATATATTACATATAGCAGATTTGCTAAATTCAAAAATATTATATTAATTAAGCCTATTTTTTAATTTGTAAATATTTTCAAATAAATTTGCTTAGAAAATTAATAAAAATATATTTATAATTTATTTTTTTATAATTTTTAAATATTCAAATAAAAATTTTTTTTAATAATATTTAAAAATAAGAATTATATTTAATATTATTAAAGTAATATTTTATTGATAATTGTTATATTTTTTTTTACTAAGACCTGTGGGTTTATAGCATAGTGGTTAATGCTCCACAAGTCAGATCATAAGATAATGGTTCAAATCCTTCAGGGGGTTAACATGAAACCTCTGAAAAAATCAAAGAAGGAAGGATTGGCATTTTCTGATCGCTGTCACAAGATACCAAGTCCAGTTTCAGGTGAAGACAATTGAACTGTCTTAATACGATATCTGGCACCATAAGCTAACATGCGCTGTTTCCCATAAGAAGCCAATTCACATGTTGATCCAATAGGCATTGGGATTGTGATATCAAGAAAAGGTGTAGCGGCGTAACGATTGTCCAGCAGAATTATGATGATCATTATCAAGTTTGGTGCTTTCCCTGTTTCTTATACATGGAGCATGCTTTCTTACCCTTTTAGTCAACAAAACTATAAAAGAAACAACACAAGTTTTCATATGACCAAAGCTAGAGCCATAAAGACTCCTTGTTAGATATGGCTTAGTCCATGGCTGATCATATTAGGATATGGTTCTTTGAGTTTCCATTCATCGAATGGTGGGTGGGACTAGAAGACACATATTCTGATACATTAGCACTCTACCTATATAATCAAAACTCCAGTGCTAGTAATATAAGAAAAATGGAGGGCAATAAGTTAATTGGTAGATAAAAGTAATCTGAATCTTAGGTAGTTTTATTTGGGAATTAGTGGTGATAAATTTGTAAATACAAATTTGTACATGCTGCGCAAAAGATAATTTAATAAAACAAGATATACGTCAGTCATTGAAAAAAAAAATTATTTTTTTTTACTTTTCTTTAAATGTTTAAAATTTTTTTTTTTAGAAAACTTTTGAATTATTTACTTTTTATTTTTATTATTATTATTATTTTTTTTTATTTTACAAACTTTTTTTCAAACTTTTCTTTTTTTCTTTTTTACTAAAGTTAGATTTTTCCTTTCTTTTGAAGATTTTTTTTAGGTTTTTCTTTTTTTTTTGAAATACTAATATATTTTATTATTTTTCTGATTAGTGAATTTACTTTTTTTAAGAATTGTTAAAAAATAAATAGTTTACCTTTTTAAAAAATTAATATGATTATTATTATCAAATTCAATATTATTTATTTGTTAATAACAAAGATTAGATATATCTAAGAAATTACTATATAACTATTATTATCTGAATCTTTAAAAAGTTATACTCTATAGTATTCAAAAAAAATAGTAACCAATAAAAACTAAGATTTCTAATAATACTACTTTGATATTATTTTGATCATATTTTAATATTACTTTAATATTAGTTTGATACTTAAATTTACTATAAAATCATATAAGTAGGTTATAACTTATATATTAAATTTACTATAGATCAATATTATTTTAATATCAGTTTAATATTAGTTTAATATTTTTTAAAATTTTAATCAAGATTAAGTTACTATATATGTTATATTAATAATTAGAGAATCTAATAAGATAATATATAACAATTAAAAATTTTAATTACTCTTATAAACAAAACTAGTAAAGACAATACAAATTTCTTATTTATCTCTTAATAATATAGATCTATTGTGTAAAATTAAATAAATATATATATATATAATTTTAATTATATTTTATATTTAATATCTATTATAACAAATTACTATTTTATATTTAAACTTTGTTTTTATTTTTTTCTGCCTTATACTTAAGTAAGATTTTATTCAAATATCTAAATAATATGACTTTATATATAAAACTTTTTATAAAAAACAATTGTTTTTTTCTCTATTTGCTACAGATTTGATTAATTTGTTGCAATTCTAGAAAAATAAAAAAGTCAAATACTAAGTAGTCTGATAAAAGGCTATACAGAGGGTGATCACAGGTATCGGAATGATTGGATAGTGATTAATTAAGTGATGATTTTTTATATATAAAAAAAAAAATTTTTTTTTAAAAAACTTTTTTCTCATCTATTTCTTTATTTATTTAAAATATCAATACTTTGTTGCGCCACCTTGGGCCTCGATACATGCTTGAATTCGGCG